TTGTGTTATAGGTCTCTTGGCATCCAGCCATTAAGGCCAGGAGGCAGCCTGCCTCAGTTTCCCCATTCACACACAGCAAACCAGGTTTTTTATGGTTTCTCTGCTGTGATAAGCTTTAAACCTGTTTACAGTTATTAACTGAAAAGTAGCATTATCATAAGGTTTAACATCCGTGTCAAAATTTTTATCCCCAAATCTTAAGATTAATACCAACATTTTTATCACAGATGGGTGTTTACAAGTATCTTTAAGATACCACACCCTCTGTTCAGATAGTGTAGTTTGTTCATTATCCATGGTGTCCTTTGACTCTCTCCCATGTAATCAGTCACTGGCTTTTCTTTCCCTCCAGTGTTTCCCTTTGTGTGGGCTCTTAATTTAATCATGTTTTTGGAATTTTGGTGCCTCAGGGTCTGGCAAGAAAAGTGTTCAGGGGGATCCTGCACATTGGCTGGCCTTTTGGGGAGTGGTCTCCCAACCCCAGGACTGTAGATATGCAGAAAATCCAGCTCCCCTTTTGGGGTTACCCTGTGTTTTCCCCTCCCAGCACTGAGTCCTCCCCTGCCCCCTAGAGGGTTGTGCTCTGTGGGTTAGGTGTGTTTATCCTTTGATCAGATTCACCTTTACCCAGCAGCTTTCCCATAACTGCTCTCTAAGTCTTACCAGCCTGGGGGAAAACACCCCCTTCTCTGTCAGTTGGTTCATTTCATTTCAGTTGGGAAATTGCAAACTAGCACGTGGCAATTTCCTGGTCCCAACTCCTCTGTTACCACAGGCATTGGAGCTACATCTTGATTTAAAGAGACACAGTTACTTTCCAAAAACTTATCAGAAATAGCATCCTGAAAAAACGGGACCTGGATTGGGGTACCCTCCCCTACCCCTTTCTCTATCCCTGAGAAGTCAGCTGTGTGACTGCTCCCCTCCAGGAGGTCAGTTACACAGTTCCTTCTCAAAACCTGGGTCACAGGCTGAGTGCCTGAGTGCACAGATGCTGACCCAGCCACCCTCCTAGTGTCCTGGGCATCCTGCCCCAAGTGACTAGTGAGGAGACATTCCTGTACCCCCACTATTCCTTCCGCAGTTTCCTCCCCTGGGCCCCCTCCTAAGACACATTTCTCTGTGCCTCCTAAGAAGGGTTCTGTCTCTTGTTCAGCTGCAGAACTCTGCCAGCTAACAACTGGGATAGTTTCCTTAATCCCTGACAACACCTCTCCTGCCTCTGCGCCTGAGGGCATGTTGCCTTCTGCTGGAAAGGAGCTAGTCTCAGCCCCTCCCATACTTGAAAGCACCCGGCTTCCCTGTGTTACAGTCACAGCAGTGGCGTAGCCAGGTGGAGGGAACAGGGGGAGCGATCAAAAAAAAAGGCGCAACCCACTGCGGTGCTTTTACTCACCCGGCGGTGCTCCGGTTCTTCGGCGGCGGGCCCTTCACTCGCTCTGGGGGTCTTCGGCGGCACTGAAGGACCCGCGGCCGAAATGCTGCCGAAGACCCGCAGAGCGAGTGAAGGTCCCGCTACCGAAATGCTGCCGAAGACCCGGAGCGCTGCCGGGTGAGTAAAATAAAAGCGCCGCAGCGGATGGCGCCTTTTTTTTTTGATCGCTCCCCCGGGTGAGTAAAAAGGCGCCAAGAAATTGACAAGGTGCCACTTGTGCTAAGTGGGGGAGCGGCTGCTCCCCCGCTCCCCCCCCACAAGCTACGCTACTGAGTCACAGGAATCCTCACCCACATCAGTCATTTCTGAGATCCCTTGCCCCTTCTCTGGGCTCTCTTCTGGGACACATTTCTCCCTGCTCCCTAGAGCTGGTTTTGCCTCTGGTTCAGCTGCAACCTGCTGGCAGCTAACAACCTGGACAGTTCTCTCCCTGGCAGTCATTATACCTCCATCCCTTCCTGATGCGGTGTTGCCCCCAGCTGCAGTGCAGGAGTTGGTCTCAACCATCCTCCCACCTGGAAGCATGTGGTTTCTCCCTGCTGCAGAAGAATCAAGGAGATTCTCTCCCATTCTCTCAGCAGTTCCTGAGACCTTACCCTTTCCCTCGGGGGTCCCAGCATAACACCCCCTCCTACTACAGGCAAATACTTTAACCTGGGCTACACGGAAAAAATCATTACCCAGGAGCAGGTCGAACAGGAGGTGTTCCATTACCCCCACAGTCAAAACACTTTCCAAACCTTCCCAAACCACATGGACTTCAGCTAGTGGTGTGAGGAATCTGCATTTGCCCACCCCCACAATCTGCCATTTTGCCAGGCAACATACTGGCCTTTCGGACCACACTCTGCTTAACCAGAGAGATCTGAGCCCCTGTATCCCTCTGCCCCAAGTATTCCCCGCCATCAATCTGGACAGCCTTAACATGCTCCATACCTGGTTCTGCAACGGCTACCCTCACAGAACCAATATGATAGGTTTCAATTGCTTGCGGGGTTTCGGTGTTGAGGCCAGCAGAACTAACATGAGCTCTTGTTTGCCTGCTTCCTCCTAGCACAGGGCATTTATTCCTCAGGTGATCAGTAGAATTACACTGATAGTACCTTTTGGGCTCTTCTACTTTTACAGGAGATTTGGGATGAGGGTTAGAGGAATGTTTTTGGGTGAGAGACGGTTTAGGCTCCCAACCCCCTTCTCTCTTCCCAGGGGCAAAATGGGTTCCTCCCTTCCCACCAGTTTTAAACCCCTCTTTCTGTGGCCTGCCCTCAATAGACGCCTGATTCTGTTCGAAGGCATCAGCTAAAAAAGCCATCTCATCCACAGACTTTACATCTTTGTCCCATAGACACTGCTTTACATCAGCCTTACATATGCATAGGAAATGCTCTTGAGCAACAAGATCCAACATTCCCTCAAAACTTGCCACTTCTCTATCCCTCACCCATTTTCCCAACAAATCTTTCATTTTGTTTACGTATTTGCAATTACTCATCCCAATATCCCTCTTAAGATTCCTAAATTTAACTCCATATATTTCAGGGGTAATCTGAAAACTTCGCAAAACAGTATCTTTAAATTTACCCTAGTCTAAAGCATCTTCAATAGGCATTCCATTCAATACATTTTGAGCTTTACCAGTTAATTTCGTAATCAGGGTAGGAACTCTCTTATCATCAGTGATTTCATGTATTACACACAGCCTTTCAAGAGTAGTCAGATATTCAGCAATATCATCCTCTTCACTGTATGCAGGACATAAGTGTTCCCATTTGTGGATTTTTGGAGTGATGGGAGTCTTTGGGGTCGGGGAGTTCTGGTTCTGCTTCTCTAGCAGGTCCAGTTGGTGTTTTTGCCATCTTTCTCTTTCTTCCCGCTCTCTTACTCTTTCTTCCCACTCTCTTACTCTTTCTATCATGGCCCTTCTGTGTGCAGTCTCCTCTCTGGCTGCCTCTGCCTCCATAGTTTCCCTGGCCGCAGCTGCTTCTTTGAGCCTCATTACTGCCTGCCCCATTTGAAACTCGCGGTCCTTTGCCTTCTCTTCTGCTTCCAGTTTGGCCAGGTCTAGTTTTGTAGCTGCCTCACTGGTATCATTTTTCTGCTGTCGTGTGCTTATTTCCCTCACCCGAAATAAACAAACAGAAATTAACAAAATTGTGACCTCTTCCTGACTGTTCTTAGCCACTGCACTTAAGAGTCACTTAAAATCACAAATATCTGTGCTTAAAGTGTGCACTTCACTTGGAGTAAGAAGCCGTACATACACCCTGCTCGCTGCACCACTGTGATGTTCCCCTCTGGTGTTATCTGGACCCGTGATCTGCTAGGCCACTCCAATCCTTCAGTCTGGGAGCCAGCCTTTACACTGCTCTGCTGTGAGAACCCCCACTCCTGGGCTGTTCATGCACAGCCTCTGGCATGTAAGCTGCTCCCAGCTACTTGCAACCGAATGAGACTAGCCAGTATCTCCGGTCCCAGACACATACCTAGGAACCTCCGTCTTGCAGTGGCCAGTAATGCCTGCTGGAAGCTGCAAGCTTATATGAGTTTGTCGATTTAACAAAGAAATAGATATGTACCAGGCTTGTTATCCCAAGGAGAGTCTCTGACATGCTTCAAACCAAAAGCACTTCTTCAGGTAGAATAAACAAACAGATTTATTAACTATAAAGATAGATTTTAAGTGATTATAACTCAAAGCATAACAAGTCAGATTTGGTCAAATGAAACAAAAGCAAAATGCATTCTAAGCTGATCTTAACACTTTCAGTACCCTTACAAACTGAGATGCTTCTCACCACAGGCTGGCTGGCTGCCCTTCAGCCAGGCTCTTCCCTTTGATCAGCGCTTCAGTCGCTTGGTAGTGATGTCTGTAGATGTAGGTGGAAGAGAGAGGGCATGGCAAATGCCTCTCCCTTTTACCATGTCCTTTCTTCCCTCTTGGCTTTGCCCCCCCCCCCTTCAGAGTCAGGTGAGCATTACCTCATCGCAGTCCCTGACTGACCAAAGGAAGGGGGGTGACTCCCTCGAGAGTCCAACAGATTCTTTTGTTGCTGTCTAGGTCAGCATCCTTTGTTCCTGTGAAGCTGGGCTGGGTTTGTCCCATACAGATGTGATGAGGTGTGAACTGCCTCTCAGCTTTTGGAGCTTTTTTGCCTAGGCTTATTTTAAGCCATGAGGACACATTTTCAGCCTCACAACTATATACATGAAATTACAACCTATAACATTACTAGAACAACTACTATAACATCACTATAACAACCATGTTCAGTGCATCATGAGCCTTCCAAAGACACTCAACATGACAAACTTTGCATTGGATACCACACACTCATTTTACAAGGATGAACATGGGGTGTTGGGTGTTCCCCCAAGGTACAGAGTGTCACACCCTACCCCAAATGTTCTCTCCCGGAATTATGCTGGGGCAGGAGTGGGGGCTCCATGCAGTGGAGCAGCCTGTCAGGTGGCTGTGTTTTTGAGGGCTGGGCTGTCCTGGGACATGGCTCTGTGTCTGGCATGGATACTGAGGATGGCTTTGACCCATTGTCTCTTTTCCTCCCAGACACCTCACCTGGTCAATCTCAATGAGGACCCGCTGATGTCTGAATGCCTTCTGTACTACATTAAGGATGGGATAACCAGGTGAGGGTGTAACCGCCACAGAATCATGTAGCATCAGTGTGTCTGCAGAAATGAACAGCATCAGACTCTGGTTGTCTGAGTGCAGGGCAGGCCCAGGGCATGGGATCCCCCTCTCCTCCTCATTCACTGCTGAACCAGGTATTGGTGCTCTGTTGCTATCAAACTCAGATCACCAGTGGCAAAGGGACCTGAGACTTTAGAGCAATTGCAGCCCTGCCCTCTGCATGGTCCCTGGGTAAGGCTGGCCTTCCTAGAGAAGTGAACTGAAGGGGAATCTAATTGATGTGTTCCCATGGATTTAATGTGCTGCCCCGTGAAGGGAAGCTGGGCAGTGCTATCCTTGTGGAAGAATGTCCCATCCTGGGGATGGGCGAGGGCTCCCCTCTGCAGAAGACCTGGCCCTACACTACCCAGGTGTACTGTGAAGGGGGAGCAGACCCCACGTCGGCAGGGGGAGAGAGCAGACGCAGATTTTAATTCCACCACTTGGAAGGGATGCGTTAGCTAGTGTATACTGGCATGCAAAAAGTCATGTTTCCCCATGACAGCTTCCAATTAAGATGTTGGCCTGGCTGCCCGCTGAGGCTCTCCCGGGACTGGATCCAAAGCCCATTAAAGTAGATGGAATGACCAGTGGGCTTTGGATCAGGCCCTTTGAGTGCGCTGCTGCCAGTGGTCTGAAACCTGGTGTATTGTTGCCAGGGAACTCCACTAAGTCTGTGTCTGCCTGCAGGGTTGGCCGAGAGGACGCAGAGAGGAGGCAGGACATCGTGCTGAGCGGACACTTCATTAAGGAAGAGCACTGCATTTTCCGCAGCAACACCAAGGCCGGTGGCGAAGGTACCCGCGGACAGAGAACCTCACACGTCCACAGTCTGTGCTCTCACCCCAGTTCAGTCACATACCTGGCTACCTGCAGCTCCTTCTTAGTGTTTGCAGCCAGGGCACCCCAGCTTCTGCTTACATCCAGGAGGACTGGGGCACTGATGCCTATCAAGAGGCCTGGAGTAGGGCACCTCCTCTCTACCTACTTGTCAAGGTGGGGTGTTGGAATACAGCCTTTGCAGGATGTGCTGTGATAGCGCCACCTGTCTTCTGGGTTGGGTCATTCCCATTTCCTTTCTTGCACTCGTTGAAGCACAGTCAGACCAATCTCCTGGCTGTGCCAGCTTCCCCAGTCACACCCCTTGAAAGGCAGCTAGCAGTGCGGAGCATTGGCAGGGCACTGTTGCCTTCCATAGCCACACCACTGGCAGAAGTGAAGGGAAGCATCTCCAGGGAATTGCAGGTGATATGCTAATAGAGGCTATTCTGTAAGGCAAATCAGGAAGAAGAGAAGATGGTTGTGAAAGAAAAGAGTGAGATATGGAGGCTGATTCCCTTGCCGAAGACATTCTGCATTGTCTGAGGCTATCCCTCCTGCAAAACGGGTGCAAACTTGCCTGCTCACAGGAAGCAGGGGGTAAATCTCTGGGATTGATTTGCGGAAAGGCCAGAGACTCAGGCTCTGTTTTTTTCTTAATCTCTTCCTTGTCAAATCTGTGCCTGTGCACAGTCTTTCAGAACACGCTTTGTAGCTTCAATGGGAGCATGGTCCAACCCCTAGAATCAGTGGTAGATGTCACTAGCCAAGCAGAGTGAGGCCTAGCACTCAGCTCAGTGGCATTTTGCTGTTTGCAGTCTGAGATGCACAGGGAAGCATATTGTTCAATATGGTGACTGTCGACCAGGCCTGATTTCCACCTTGTGCTCATTTGGTTTTCAGGGAGTGGAGCAGTGGTGACATCAGAGGTAGCACAGCCAATCATCACTCCCTCCCTCTAGTTCATTTGAATACTTCAATCCCATTGGTTGAAATGAGTCAGCAAGTGAAACTGCAGGTCAGGACTCTGCTCTGCTTTGTCAGAGTTGGGGGGCCGGGGGCTCAGGACTGGAACAGTGGGGGCTGCTTCAGGTCAGGAGCTGTGTTGGTTGAGTAGGAGTGAGGCTGGAGATTTGAACTGTGGCTCCCTCCACACTATGCCTGGCCTGGGGTGTGGGAACAATTAGTGTAGTGGGGGTGCTGAGAGCCATTGAACCAAACTGTAATATAATGGAAACCACTTCAAGACGGAGGGTGCGGCAGCACCCCCACTGTGTTCCCTCTAATTTTTTCTATCCGTGGGTGGAATGAATTTTGTACCATATTGAGGTAATGTGAGGATATGCGCCACCAGCAGAAACAAGAAACCTAGATATTTATATATTTTTAAAAAGTTACCATAGGGATAATTACTCCAGCCAGGACAGGGTAGGCATTTTAGAAGTCACTAATCAAAGAATTACATTTAAGCGTAAGAGAGAAATAGAAATTATGAAATGCATAGACCAGTCAAAACACTAAAACAACACACTTTGAAATGTGTTGGGAGGTGAATGTAAAAGACACAATGTGTGTGTGAGACAGAGAGAGACACGCTGCACCTTTAAGTAGATCGGCACTCAGCAGTCTGAAGCCTGCTCCCTGGTTGTTCAGACACAGCAACACCTGCCAGCCAGCTCTGTCCTGAGCCCTGTCGTGTCCCCGCCCTGCTCTGTGGAGATGGGGTACAGGGGAGGGGGACACCCTGACATCAGCAGTCTCCTCTCCTCCCCCACGCTCTGTACAGCAAGCAGGAGGCTCCCGGCAGCAGCTGGCCAGAGGCAAAGGGCAGGAGCAGCGCAGCAGTGCGGGAAGGGACACCTGAAGTGCACAGCACTTGATAGCTTGCTGGGCGGCCCCGCAGCTTAGAGGGAACTTAGACCCCCAGCACCCCTAGTTCCAGCACCTATGTGTCTGGCTCAGGCAAGATCATTTCCCTTTGCCCAGTCAGAACGGTTGTAGTTCATGTAAACATTGTAAATCACGTGGTGCGGCAGACAGAGATTCCTTAGCCTGCTGCACCCAGTGGGCAGTCTCGAGAGGAGAGAAGACAGGCAGGCAGCAGGGTTCGGGTTCAGGTTACTGGTGGGTGTTGCCTCAGTGCTGTGAGGGGAGGTTGTTATTAATATATAATTGATGACGCCAAGAAGAGTGGCAGCCTGGCTGACTCAACATTATACAGGTTTGCTGGCAGTGTCCTGTAAAATCACTACAGGTTTAGGGATAGAGACTGCTTTCCTGTCCCTCCTCCCACCTGCAGCAGCAATGGGGTGGGCAACCCACTGGCATGCAAAAGCAATTCATTGTTAAAGTCTGGAATGGCCCAATCCCTCTTTCACTCTGTCCAGGAATCTCCGTGCAGCCTAGCTTGCCGAAGAGGCCAGCAGGTGGCAGTACCGCAATATAACGTCCAGTTTGGAGGGTACTTCTTACCGAGTGACTAGAGAACAAATAACGCCACTCACAGATCCCCGGGCATCCTAGGGTCCCTCTGTTTACTCAGCATCATGTGCTGTCCCCTCTTACACAAGCTGCATAGTGCTTTGCTCTGTGAGCAGCCCCCAGGCTGTCTGTGGGACTAGTTGTGACGTGGGAGGGAGCGGGGCATGTTCTGGCTCTCGTGATTAATGCTCAAGGACTGATGGCAGGTAGTTTGCAGTCTGCAGATCCAGGCTGGACTTTGGCATGGAAGAGACAATCAATGCCAGTGAAATAATGGGGGTAAGAAGGTGGTGTAGGCCTGCCCTGTGGGAATGTATGGAAAGTAACCTGGTATTTATAACTAAAATATAGATAGAGGGGGAGATCTTCAAAAGCACCTCAGGGGTTTAGAAGCACCAGCCCCATTGATTTTCAGCGAGACGTGCTCCTAAATTCCACTGGCGCTTTTGAAATACAACCTTGTTGTATGTGCTTGGGCCCAGCTCCATGTCTGGAGCAGGGTGTCCACTGGCATCAAGATGCTAAACAAACAGCCCTCCCTGCCTATCGCAGCCCGTAGGGCCTGCACAGCCAACATTTCCAATGCGATCAGGAGACCAGCAGCCCTTCAGGCCTCTGCTGTCCCTTCACACCTCTTCTGCTGTCTCTTTCTCTCTCCTATGCCTTTCCCGCAGTAGTGGTGACACTAGAACCTTGCGAAGGGGCCGACACCTACGTCAATGGCAAAAAAGTGATGGAACCCAGTGTCCTGCGATCCGGTAGGTCCTGCTTCAGAGGGGGTGATTGACTCAGCACTGACAGATTGCTTTAATCACTGACTCACATCGATCCCCTTATAGAAACACACCAGGGCAGATGGTGGTTCTAGTCTAGTGGCATCAGTGCAGTGACAGTGGGGGATAGTCAGTGGGGCTACTCATGCTCAAGTGCTCTGTTGAATCAGGGCATAAGTCGTGGGACACGAGAGGCCTTGTTGGTGGAAATCCTGCTGTGCAACCCTTGCCACTGAGTTGGGGTTCCTGCATATACACCTCTACCCTGATATAACGCTGTCCTTGGGAGCCAAAAAATCTTACTGGGTTATAGGTGAAACCGCGTTATATCGAACTTGCTTTGATCCGCTGGAGTGCGCAGCCCCGCCCCCCCGGAGTGCTGCTTTACCATGTTATATCTGAATTTTTGTTATATCGGGTCGCGTTATATCGGGGTAGAGGTATACTGGAGACCTCATTGGTTAACTCCGAACTGCCCTCCCCAAAGGAAACCGAATCATCATGGGGAAGAGCCACGTGTTCCGATTCAACCACCCTGAACAGGCTCGCCAGGAACGGGAGCGGACCCCATGTGCAGAGACCCCCGCGGAGCCAGTGGACTGGGCCTTCGCGCAGCGAGAGCTGCTGGAGAAACAAGGCATTGACATGAAGCAGGAGATGGAGCAGAGGTAGGAGGCATGGGGGAGGCAGAGGAGATGAGGGATCATGGAGGGAGGGGAACATGGAGAGGTGGAGCAGAAGGGAAGGAAATGGGGTGTCAGCCAGTAATTGGATCTGTTCAGGTTTGTCATTTTGTCCTTCCTAATTCTTCCCAGGCTTCAGGAACTGGAGGACCAATACCGCAAAGAGAGAGAAGAGGCCAACTATCTTCTTGAGCAGCAGAGGCTGGTAGGTGGCACACACATTCTGCTTCTTATCTGGTTCATCAGAGCAACGCTAGTCACCGTCAAGGCGCACACTGGGGTTGCGTCTCTAGTCTTAACAATGGATAGCGTGCTGACATGAGTAGGGCGGATCTGCATCTTCTGAAGATGCTACCTAGACTGGAAATATCATGTGTCTCCACGTCTCACGGGGCCTTTTAGACCAGTGAACACAGCTGGGGGGTAGGTTGGCTTTCTACAGGGAGTGGAGCCATTTGTCAGTTTTATGGGGATCGAGAGAGACCTGGTACAGGAAGGGGGTGGTCAAAATCAAGAAGACAGTTGTTTGTGGGTTATTTCCTTATCTTCCCCCCTTTCCCTCAGGACTATGAGAGTAAACTGGAGGCTTTACAGAAGCAGATGGACTCCAGGTATTATCCTGAGGCCAATGAGGAAGAGGAAGAGCCCGAAGATGAAGGTAAAAGTTCAGTGAAAGCAGAGAGTGACTGAAATAAATTGTGCAAGAGAGAACGAGCCTTTTCCAGTTTTCCTGGCCAATGACACTTCCTGATGGCCCTGGGAGTGGGGCTCTGGTCTGTTACGATGAAAGTCCGGAAGATCCAGGTGTATCGGCAGGAGACTCTCTCTTATCATAAGAATGGCCCTAGTGAGTCAGACCAAAGGTCCATCTAGCCCAGTATCCTGTCTTCCAGCAGTGGCCAGTGCCAGATGCCCCAGAGGGAATGAACAGAACAGGTAATCATCAAATGATCCATCCCCTGTCATTCCTTCCCAGCTTCTGGCAAACAGAGGCTAGGGACACCATTCCTGCCCATCCTGGCTGATAGCCATTGATGGACCTATCGTCCATGAATGTATCTAGTTCTTTTTTGAACCCAGTTATGGTCTTGGCCTTCACAACATCCTCTGGCAAGGAGTTCCACAGGTTGACTGTGCGTTGTGTGAAGAAATACTTCCTTTTATTTGTTTTAAACCTGCTGCCTATTAATTTCATTAGGTGACCACTAGTTCTTGTGTTATGAGAAGTAGTAAACAACACTTTCTTGTCTATTTTCTCTACACCAGTCATGATTTTATAGACCTCAATCATATCTCCCCTTAGCCGTCTCTTTTCCAAGCTGAAAAGTCCCAGTCTTATTAATCTCTCCTCATACAGAAGCCGTTCCATACCCCTAATCATTTTTGTTGCCCTTTTCTGAACCTTTTCCAATTCCAATATATCCTTTTTGAGATGGGGCGACCATATCTGCACACCGTATTCAAGATGTGGGCATACCGTGGATTTATATAGAGGCAACATGATATTTTCTGTCCTATTATCTATCCCTTTCTTAATTATTCCCAACATTCTGTTTGCTTTTTTGACTACCGCTGTACATTGAGTGGATGTTTTCAGAGAACTATCCACAATGACTCCAAGATCTCTTTCTTGAGTGGTAACAGCTAATTTAGACCCCATCATTTTATATGTATAGTTGGGATTATGCTTTCCAATGTGCATTACTTTGCATTTATCAACATTAAATTTCATCTGCCATTTTGTTGCCCAGTCACCCAGTTTTGAGAGATCCTTTTGTAGCTTTTTGCAATCTGCCTGGGTCTTAACTATCTTTAGTAATTTTGTATCATCTGCAAATTTTGCCACCTCACTGTTTACCCCTTTTTCCAGATCATTTATGAATATGTTGAATAGGACTGGTCCCAGAACAGACCCCTGGGGGACACCACTATTTACCTCTCTCCATTCTGAAAACTGGCCATTTATACCTACCCTTTGTTTCCTATCTTTTAACCAGTTACCAATCCATGAGAGTACTTCCCTCTTATCTCATGGCAGCTTACCTTGCATAAGAGCCTTTGGTGAGGGACCTTGTCAAAGGCTTTCTGAAAATCTAAGTACACTATGTCCACTGGATCCCCTTGGTCTACATGCTTGTTGACCCCCTCAAAGAATTCTAGTAGATTGGTGAGGCATGATTTCCCTTTACTAAAACCATGTTGACTCTTCCTCAACAAATTATGTTCAACTATATGTCTGACAATATTGTTCTTTATTATAGCTTCAACCAGTTTGCCCGGTACTGAAGTCAGGCTTATAGGCCTGTAATTGCCTGGATCACTTCTGGAGCCCTTTTTAAAAATTGGCGTCACATTAGCTATCCTCCAGTCATCTGGTACAGAAACTGATTTAAATGATAGGTTACAGACTACAGTTAGTAGTTCTGCAATTTGACATTTGAGTTCCTTCAGAACTCTTGGGTGAATACCATCTGGTACTGGTGACTTATTGCTGTTTAATTTATCAATTTGTTCCAAAACCTCCTCTAATGATACCTCAATCTCTGGACAGTTCCTCAGATCTGTCACCTAAAAAGAATGGCTCAGGTTTGGGAATCTCCCTCACAGCCTCAGTCGTGAAGACCGATGCAAAGAATTCATTTAGTTTCTCCGCAATGGCCTTATCATCCTTGAGTGCTCCTTTAGTACCTAGATCGTCCAGTGGCCCCACTGGTTGTTTAGCAGGCTTCCTGCTTCTGATGTACTTAAAAAAAAATTGCAATTATTTTTTGAGTCTTTGGCTAACTGTTCCTCAAATTCTTTTTTGGCCTTCCTAATTGTATTTTTACACTTCATTTGCCAGTGTTTATGCTCCTTTTTGTTTTCCTCACTAGGATTTAACTTTCACTTTTTAAAGGATGCCTTTTTGCCTCTCACTGCTTCTTTACTTTGTTGTTTAGCCACGGTAGCTCTTTTTTGGTTCTCTTACTATTTTTTTTTAATTTGGGGTATACATTTAAGTTGAGCCTCTATTATGGTGTCTTTAAAAAGTTTCCACACAACTTGCAGAGATTTTACTTTTGGCACTGTACCCTTTAATTTCTGTTTAACTAACCTCCTCATTATTGTGTAGTTCCCCTTTCTGAAATTAAATGCTACAGTGTTGGGCCGCTGTGGTGTTTTTCCTGCCACAGGAATATTAAATTTAATTATATTATGGTCACTATTACCAAGCGGTCCAGCTATATTCACCTCTTGGACCAGATCCTGTGCTCCACTTAGGACTAAATCAAGAATTGCCTCTCCTCTGGTGGGTTCCAGGACCAGCTGCTCCAAGAAGCAGTCATTTAAGGTGTCAAGAAACTTTATCTCTGCATCCTATCCTGAGGTGACATGTACCCAGTCAATATGGGGATAATTGAAATCCCCCATTATTATTACTGAGTTTTTTTATTTTAATAGCCTCTCTAATCTCCCTGAGCATTTCACAGTCACTATCAGCATCCTGGTCAGGTGGTCGGTAATATATCCCTACCACTATATTCTTATTATTAGAGCATGGAATTTCTATCCATAGAGATTCTATGGTACAGTTTGATTCATTTACAGTTTTTACTTCATTTGATTCTATGCTTTCTTTCACATATAATCCCACTCCCCCACCAGCACGATCTGTTCTGTTCTTCTGATATATTTTGTACCCTGGTGTTACTGTATCCCATTGATTATCCTCATTCCACCAAGTTTCTGTGATGCCTATTATATCAATATCCTCATTTAATACAAGGCACTCTAGTTCACCCATTTTATTACTTAGACTTCTAGCATTGGTATATAAACACTTTAAAAACTTGTCTCCTTTTAGCTGTCTGCCATTACACAATGTCACTGAATGGGACTTTTTTATTTGACTGTTTCTGATCAGACCCTGCCTGTATTTTATCATTTTCCATCCTCTGCTCCTCACAAGGACATAGAGATTCCCTATTAATAGATCCTCCCGTAAGGGATGTCCGAACCATGTGCTCCTTCGCACCTGTCTGCTTTCCCCCAGCCCTTAGTTTAAAAACTGCTCTACGACCTTTTTAATGTTAAGTGCCAGTAATCTGGTTCCATTTTGGTTTAGGTGGAGCCCATCCTTCCTGTATAGGCTCACCCTTTCCCCAAAGTTTCCCCATTTAAGTATCAAAGTATCAAATAACTGTAGGTGTCTAAAGCTGTGGTATCACAGTGTGTGGAATGCCACAAAGGGGATGATTATAATGCTGAATGAAGGAGGCAGGGGGTCAAGATTGTTGCTTGTTAAATCACTCTTGTCTGAATTCAGGGGCCGGAGCTCTGCTCATTTGCCGGCATTTTCAGTATCTGCTTTGGATGCTGTAACTCTAATTCAAACACAGCTGTTACAATGGTTACCGCAGATATTCACACTGCACCCACATACCCCATTCTCCATACTCCTTGTGTTCATGTTAGTACTGCCTACTGCTTCTTGATATGCAGTTAACAAGAAGCAGCATACAAATGGATAAGGCATAGAGATGAAGAAATAGCATGAGGTCTGATTGCAAAATTTCTATAGTTGAAAGGTTGGCATAAATCAGTGGGGAATTTATTTATTGAAAATTAATCAGTTGTTCCTTGGTAAAATGTGGGTTCTTTGTTTTGTTTTAAAAGAAGGCAGATGGGAAAGTCACACTTCTAGAACAGAGAAAGGGTATCAGCATAACCCAGAGGGCCTGATTCTTCTTTATACCCAGGACTCTTTACACCCCACTGGTACTGTAAAGGGGCATTAAAGTGGATATAAATTACATTACCCCACTTTAAGGCAGCCAAAGGGCATTAGTGTCAATGAGAATAAGGCCATTACAATTTTAAACAATCAGTGCTGTTATTGTAATTAATTATTTCCCCACCTCTAGCAGTGTTTGGGAACCTTTAGCCATGTTTGGGAGCTGGTATTGCTGTTTCATACACATAATAACCTTTCCCATCCCTCATTTACCTTGGCTGCTGACAGAGTGGAGTTAGTTTTGTCTTATGGGGGACGTTGCCCTCCCTGTGTATCTGGGGTATTTCTGTTGGACCTTGCACTGTGGTGCCCTCCTGACTTGTGTGTGGAACAGTTATTAGGGCAAGAAGAGAAAACTGTATTTCCTCATGTTCAGAGCCAGTCACATAAAATCATCACTGGTAAAGTTTGCAGGTGACACAAAAAGTGGGGGAGTGGTAAATAATGATGAGGACAGGTCACTGATTCAGAGAGATCTGGATCGCTTGGTAAACGGGACAAGCAAACGTGTTTTAACACAGCTAAATGTAACTGTATACATCTAGGAACAAAGAATGCAGGCCACACTTACAGGACGGGGGCTCTATCCTAGGAAGCAGGGACTCTGAAAAAGATTTGAGGGTTGTGGTGAATAATCAGCTGACCACAAGCTCCCAGTGTGATGCTGTGGCCAAAAGAGCTAATGCAATCTTGGGATGTATAAACAGGGGAATCGTTAGTAGGATTAGCGAAGTTATTTTACCTCTGTCTTTGGCACTGGGGCGACTGTTGCTGGAACACTGTGTCCAGATCTGGTGCCCACAATTCAAGAAGGATGTTGATAAATTGGAGCGGTGTCAGAGAAGAGCCTTGTAGTGACAGACTCAAGGAGCTCAGTCTATTTAGCTTAACAGAGAGAAGGCGAAGGGGTGACTTGATCACATTCTATAAGTACTTATATGGGGAGCAAATACATGATCATGGGCTCTTCAAGCTAGCAGAAAAAAGTCAAACACAATCCAATGGCTGGAAATTGAAGCTAGACAGACTCAGATTGGAAATAAGACATAATTTTTTAACAGTGAGAGGAATTAACCATTGGGACAATTTACCAAGGATCATGGTGGATTCTCTATCACTGACAAGTTTTCAATCAAGACTGGGTGTTTTTCTAAAAGATCTGCTCTAGGAATTATTTGGGGGCAGGTCTATGGTCTGCGTTATACAGGGGGTCAGACTAGCTGATCACAGTGGTCCTTGCTTGCCTTGGAATCTCTGAAAACCTCTCCACAGCCTGGATGGAATCAAGGGTGGGTGAGTGTTGGTGTTAGTGGTGGTGGGCAGAGGAGTGTCAGGGGTGTCCTTTGAAGAAAGTGACCTTGTCTCTTTGTCTCAACAGTACAGTGGACTGAGCGGGAGTTTGAGCTGGCCCTCTGGGCCTTCAGGAAGTGGAAGTGGTACCAATTCACGTCTCTCCGGGACCTTCTGTGGGGCAATGCAATTTTCTTAAAGGAGGCCAATGCCATTAGCGTGGAGCTGAAGAAGAAAGTAAGCACCTTCTGTCACACTCAGGCTCTCCGGGATTTTACCCCTGAGTTATGTAACTGAATTTTCTTTCCATTTTTTTTGGAGGAAATTGGATTCCTCCACTTCCTCATGGTTGCTGGTTGCAGAGCTAAGCACATGCATTTCCCAGTGATTACCAAACCAAGAGGTGTTTGTACACAAACAGTGAGCACATGGGACAGAAACTGCAGCCCTCTGCTTCAGTAGAGTCTCATCAGCTTGCATGTACCAGCAAGATGGCAAAGCTGTGAATGAGGTCAAGGGCTTGGGCTCTCAAAGACCAGAAAACGTGTTCCTAGATGAGCCATATTACAGGTTCTACCAAAAGCAATGGGTCAGATTTGAACCTGGCGTAAGCACGTATATCTCCATGGAAGTCACTGACACCTGCTTACCCCGAGGTCTGGGGTGGCCCCTTGTGCATTTCAGGAGTTACACAGAGTGGATGGATGCCAACAGTCCAAAGGCATTGGCTGGGGATCCCCATTCACCATGAGCCTTCCACACACATACTGATTCTCCAACCCTCTGTCCATTCCCAGGTCCAGTTCCAGTTCGTCCTCCTCACAGACACTCTTTACTCCCCTCTGCCTCCCGACCTGCTGCCCCCCAATGCTGCCAAAGACCGAGAGAAACGGCCCTTCCCACGAACCATTGTGGCTGTGGAGGTGCAGGACCAGAAGAATGGAGCAACACATTACTGGACTCTGGAGAAACTCAGGTAGAGTGGGGCAGAGGTACTGTGGCACAGCCACACGTATTGTACTGGGCGGGGTGGGGCTGAGAGCAGCCCTGCTCGGCTGGCACATTCAGGACAAGAAGAGTAGAGTTGTGGAGTCTCCTGTCTTGTGGTCCTAGCCCCTTGGTTTGAAGTTGCATGCACACGCCTATCAGTGAGTTTATCCCTTGCACATTTATTACCACTGCCTTCACAAATAAACAAGAATGATCAGTGAACAACAATAATGGCAAAATAGCATACAAAATAGCAATGTATTTCATTATGAATCTAAATCAGGGGTCGGCAACCTATGGCACACGTGCCGATTTTTAATGGCACGCTGCTGCCTGCCGGGGTCCCGCTCAGCCCGCTGCCGAACCCCGG